CCTACTGTATATTGTGTTGAGCATAACTAGCGTTCGGCGCGACACTGTCTAAAAATTTAAGTTAACGCTCAAAAGCCAGCCTACTAGTGCGATGCGGCCATATTATACCCCATTTTCGGCTTTTTAGCGCTAAGCTAATATTTTTAGACAGAGTCGCACCGGGCGCTGGTTATGCTCAGAATAATACATAGCCGAACGGAAAAAAAAAAAAAAAAAAAAAAAAAAACTTTTCTCGGATCGTAGGTGGTTCGATTTCGTTTAATTATCTATTTTGTTGAACTCTGTTGTGGTGGTGGCCGATTCTGTACCTGATGGCGGAATCCACTGCTGGGGAAAACGCGGTTGTGGGGGGCGAATGCCCCGCGACGCCAAAACGATCAACGCGTCTGGCGAAGCCGAGCGAGAAGGCGAAGGGGGTAACTGGAAGCGACGATGTTTCGCCGACGAAGACTGCAAAAAAGACCAACTACAAGAGCGTCCCGCGCCAATCAGGCTCCAGCGAACGAGGCAGAGTCGGACAATGCGACAATTGCGACGGAAGGCGCCGGCGGCACTGATACTGGTGCGGCAGCGCTGCTCCACATTGTGCTGAAGGAACTCAAAGACATCAAAGACGCGTCAGTCAAGCAGCAAAACCTTATTGAAGATCTACGAGAACAAGTGGTCGAAGCGAAACAAGAAATTCGAGACACCAGGGACGAGCTGAAATATGTACGAGAACAACTTGAGGCCGTGACCGCCGCTGCGGCGGCGTCTGAAATCAGTCCACGGCCTTCATACGCTGAGATTGCACGAACACCACCCACAAGTCACCCAAGCAACATACCATCGTTTTCCTCCAACACGACTACATCGGGCGCAACGGACTTACTGTACTGTACGGTGGACGTTTCCCGGGTTGACGAAGCGCTGGTGGAGAAAACCTCAGCCGGCGCGGTCAGGACAGTCATTGAAACGGAGGCCCGATTGAAGTTGGAGCGGGCAAATTGGCGATGCCGTGCGGTAACGAAGGATCGCAAAAATCCCAACCGTATCCGAATTGCATGCCGCGATGAAGTGGAACATGACTTGGTCAAACAACTCGCGCACGCTAAGCTCCCCACAGGAGCCAGAGTCATGCGAGATGAACTATACCCAGTCAAGGTCGACAATGTAAACCGATTCGCAGTGGTTGATGAGAACAGTAACGTGAAGCCCGAGGCTAGCGCCTCCCTTGGCGAGGAGAATGAGGTGCAAGTAGCCAAAGTGGCGTGGCTGAGCAGACGCGACAATCCTAAGGCATACGGCTCGATGGTCGTCTATCTCACAAAGGTCTCTGACGCAAGAAGAATTCTCCGCGAGGGCTTCTTTTATGCAGGAGGCGAATCAGGACCTACGGAACGATTTGAACGACGACCGCGCCCCGAACAGTGCTACAACTGTCAGGAAATCGGACACAAGGCCTTCCAGTGCACGAAATCGCAGGTGTGTGGCAAATGCGCAAAAGAAGGGCATCACCACAGAAGCTGTATGGAAATCGTCACCAAATGTGCGCTCTGCGATGGTCCCCATGAAGCATTTAGCCGAAACTGCCGAAGACTCTTCCCATCCAACCATGAATAAACAATTCCAAATTGTCCAGCTTAATGTCAAGAAGCAAGGGAGCATACATGATAGTTTGATGAATGACGACGACCTTCGAAACACAGCAGTTATATTGATCCAGGAGCCACAAGCGAGGAATATTGCTGGGCGGCTCCTGACAACACCGATGGCACACAATGGTTGGACGAAGATGACGCCGTCGGTGTGGAGTGAGGGGAGATGGGCGATCAGGAGTATGCTTTGGATCAACGAGGATTTGGAGGCGGAGCAGCTGTCAACAGAGTCACCGGATCTGACGGCAGCCATGATAAATCTACAAGATAAATCAATCTTGGTTGTCTCGGCCTACGTGGCAGGGATGGACAACACTGCACTGCGACACACTTGCGCTATACTTCGCAGTTTAATCATCACCGCGAGGAGGCGAGCTGAGCGACCAGTTGAAATCCTCATCGCAGGCGACTTCAATCGTCACGATCAGCTTTGGGGAGGAGATGATGTATCCATGGACAGACAAGGGGAGGCAGACCAAATAGTGGAACTGATGGGTGAATACTCACTCGGTAGCCTGCTGCCGCGGGGTACCAAGACGTGGCACGATTGGAGATACGAGACGACGATCGACTTGGTATTGGCATCGGAGGGGCTAGCGGAGTCCAAGATTCGATGCACTACTGACGGAACTGACCATGGGTCAGACCACTACAAGATCACAACTTCATTCGACATATCCATGCCAGAAATAGCACATGAACCTAGATTTCTTTTCAAGAATACGCCATGGAAGGAGGTCAATAACAGAATACGAAAGACGCTCCATGGAAAATCCACTACTGGAGACGTACAAGCAGACACGGATCAACTGATGTCGGGGGTGTTGGAAGCCTTGCACGCGTTGACACCGAAATCGAAGTCATCGCCGTACGCAAAGCGCTGGTGGACTTCTGATCTCTCACAACTACGGGCCGTGCAGTCGTTTTGGCGTAATCGAGCGAGAGCGCAACGACGAGCAGGCCGAAGGGATCCCGAGCTGGAGGATAATGCCAAGGGTGCGACAAAACAATATCACGACGCTATCCGACAGCGGAAGCAGACTCACTGGGAAGAGTTTCTTGCAGACAATGACAATATCTGGGAGGCGGCCAAGTATATGAAGTCAAACGGTAGTTCAGCGTTTGGTAGAGTACCACATCTGAAGAAAGCAGACGGCACGTACACCAGCAATAAGCAACAGCAAGCCACGGAAATGTTAGATACTTTCTTCCCGCTTCTGCCTGAAAATATCGAGGAGGAAGGTGACAGGCCAGAGAGGGAGTCAGCAGTGCCCATGCCCAGTATCACAATGGAGGAAGTTGAACGACAGCTGCACAGAGCAAAGTCATGGAAGGCGCCAGGGGAAGATGGGCTTCCTGCTTGGGTTTGGAAGCAAGTCTGGCCCGTGGTCAGACACTGGGTATTAGCCATTTTTCGGAATTCCGTCGAACAAGGCCAAGTGCCAAGTCAGTGGCGACATGCCAAGATTATTCCGCTGAAGAAACCAGACAAAGCTGACTACACCATTGCAAAGGCATGGAGACCTATATCTTTGTTGTCTACGCTTGGGAAGTTGCTTGAGTCTGTAGTGGCAGAGAGGCTGTCTTATGTGGTGGAAACGTACGGCTTGTTGCCGGCAAATCACTTCGGAGCCCGAAAACAGAGGTCGGCAGAACAGGCCCTTATACTGTTACAGGAGCAGATTTTGTATGCCTGGCGGGCGAAGCGAGTGCTGAGCCTGATCAGTTTTGATGTCAAAGGAGCATACAATGGTGTCTGCAAAGGTAGACTCGTTCAAAGAATGAAGGCTCGAGGGATCCCGGAAACATGGACGCGCTGGGTGGAGGCTTTCTGCTCTTCGCGCACAGCGACTATCCAGGTCAATGGTCAGACGTCTGACACCCAGGAATTGCCGCAGGCCGGACTGCCTCAAGGCTCTCCACTGTCTCCAATTTTGTTTCTCTTTTACAATGCCGATTTGGTACAACGCCGCATTACCTGGAACGGAGGATCGGTGGCATTTGTTGATGACTTTACTGCCTGGGTCGCTGGCCCTTCGGCGAGAGACAATCGTGCAGGAATCGAGTCCATTATCGAAACAGCTCTTGGGTGGGAAAAGCGCAGCGGCGCTACGTTTGAAGCAGAAAAGACCTCCATTATCCATTTCACCAAGACAAGCTACAAGAACGATTCAGATTCTTTTCTCATTAAGGATCAAGAAGTGCATCCCAAAACCCATGTAAAGGTATTAGGACTTATCATGGACACGCGCCTAAAGTACAAGGAACACATTGCAAGAGCATCGTCCAAAGGCCTCGAGGCTGCGATGCAACTCAGAAGGCTGAAAGGACTCTCGCCATCGACAGCCCGACGGCTGTTCACAGCCATGGTTGCCCCTGTCGTAGACTTTGCCTCCAACGTTTGGAGGCACGCATGCATAGATAGGAGAGCAAGGATGTTGGATCGAGTTCAGAAGATGGGCGCTCAAGCTATCACTGGCGCATTCAGGACTGTGGCGACCAAGGTTGCTGAGGCAGAAGCACATATCAGTAGCGTTCAAGATCGACTGTGGAAGAGAGCCATGAAGCTGTGGGTGGAGCTTCACACCTTGCCTGACAGTAGCCCCCTACGTCGAGAGGCTTCTAGAATGTCTCGAGTGTGGAAAAACGGTTTCTTGTCGCCTTTCCAGCAAGTGTCCGTTGTCTTCAACTCCACTAGCCTCGACGACATGGAAACCATTGAACCATTCACCCTTGCTCCCTGGGAAAAGAGAATACAGGTTGTAATCGATGATGCTGGAGGAGAATCAGTACGAAGCATGGCCGAAGCAGTGCAAGTGGCAGTCAGCAGTTCTGCCAGAAACGACGTGGTTGGTGTTGGCGGAGCAGTCCACATCCCAGGATTCTGTGACAAAACGTTTGCATTCACGCTTGGTGCGAGAGACCAGCACAACCCATACTCTGGACAGCTGGCAGCGATTGCGTATGCTCTGCGGCGTGCGCTGTCTGAGCCTTGGGACCAACGAGTGGTTGTGCTCACT